CCTTTTGGGGAAAAAGGGGTATCCAAGGCCCCCCGCCGGGGGCGGGGTTTGTTACCGCGGGGGCGGCCACCCGCCCGGCACGCGTTTTTGGGCTGGGCGTCCCCGGCCCGCAAGGCGAATTCGTTTTGGGCAAGGGCCCCGTTTTCGCGGGCTAAAACGCCGGGGGGGGCCTTCTTCCCGCGGCGAGGGAAAGGGGTTTTTTTTACCCCCCACCCCCCCGAACCCCCCAAACCACCCGCCACCTACCTACCTATTGCAGGGGCCCTCTGGGGCGGTCAAAACCGGACCTACCTACCTATTGCATAGGGTCCAACGGGTGCCGACAGACCCCCTATCTGGGTAGGAGCCGGAACCCTGGGTTTGGACGCTCCGCAACCCACCTTGAGCACTTGAGCACTGGATAGGGTCGGTTCCGCATGGTACGGGACCCCTCGATGTCGATCGTCTCGCCCACCCTCACTGGTGTGTTCAACCCACCTCGAGACCATACCCCCCCGCCTGCTGACAGACCCAGCCTCCCGCGGAGACCGGGGATGGGCGGTCAGGACCATACCCCCCCACCCTTTGGGCCGCGAGGGTACCATACCCCGGAAAAAGTTGGAACCCTGGGGAAGAGAGGACTGGCGCAAAAAGAATTTTACGGTGAGCGGTCACTCTCACTAGGCACGGGAAGACTGGCGGCGCGCACGCGCCACGCGGCGCACCTTGTGACGGTGCCCTGGCAAAATCGTCCCGATTTCGATGCGCGATTTAGCTAAGTCCCAGAGCCGTTTACGCATGAGCGGGCCCCCTCACCAGCCTAGGGCTCGCGCTTCTGGCCCGAGGTGTCGCCGCTGCCTCCCGCGCCCTCCGGCGCCTGCTGCTACTGCCGGTCGGCCGGTCGGGTCCGCGCGACGGCTCCATCCTCGAGACGTAGCGGTCGCTGAGCGCTTTCTCGACCGCTACGTCTTCCAGTGCACCCACCCACCGCGACCCTCGAACCTGCGCTGCGCGGCGCAGTTGCTGCCGAGCGAGACGCCCCCGCCCGCGCAGGGGCGGCATCACCAGACGCTACCGCATGGCCGAGCAGCGAGCAGTGTGTGCCGCAGTGCCCGTCCGGGCCCTCTTGCAGCTGCCTCTATTGGGCGTAAACCGCGGATATAAGGGTCTATACGGAGGTGGGTGGCCTCTTAGAGGTATGGGAGCCGCTGGCACCGCGCTGGGCGCCGCGGATGCACGTACGAGCGAACATTATGAAATCGGGACGATTTTGACCCAAAAATCACAAGGTGCGCGCGCAGCGGCCAGCGCAACAGGCGTTTCAAACAGCAAACGGGACGGCCTGCGCAGCCTCTAACTATTTTTTGAAAAACATTCGAACACAAAGAAGAGGCGACGGGAGGAACCGGCAGAGGATGCAGTGACGTGACACACACACACACACACACACACACACACACACACACACACACACACACACACACACACACACACACACACACACACACACACACACACACACACACACACACACACACACACACACACACACACCGCTCACCCACGCGCACCGGGCCTTGCACTTTAAATGCCGTGGGGGGCTCCTGTCGTTAGACGTGGAGACGCGAGGGTTGCCCCCCCTTGCCCCACCACCTCGTGTGTGTGGAGAAGTTTACCTTACCTTACCTTACCTTATAGGTTTCAGCTCAGTTTCAGCTTTTTCACCTTTCATCAGTAAAGTCTCTGGACGAGGCGTCGATAGATAGGTCTGGCGGGGAAACGAGCAGCGCCTGCAAGAGCGGCGTAAAGTCCGCCGGCTGCAACACGCGGCGCATCCACTCGCGCGCGTTTGCGATGATCCGGAGGCACGCCGACTCGTGGCTGTCGAGCCAGCGGAGCGTTGACTCAAGGTCCTCCGGCCTGTAGAGCGGCACGTAGTGCACCCACGGCAGCAGCAGGCCCTCCATGAGCCACGACTCGCGCGTCGGCGGCGGCATCACGACGACACTGTTCTGCGCGAGCTTCCACTTCAGGTCGGTCGCCACATCGTTGCCCTCGAGGCTGAGAATGTACCGATAGGACAGCTGCTTGCCCACCGACAGCCGCTCGCCAAACGTCCAGTTCTCGGCGACCCACTCGTGGCGTTTCTGCACGACTGGCCCGATAAACTTGACATTGTGCCGCCGACCGAGCGCCTGCACGAAGTCCTTGCGTACGCACGGCGCCGACGGCGGCCGGTACGTCTCCGCGTTGCAGCAGCAGCCCGTCGTGGTGCCGCGCCACACGATGTCCTTCTGCTTGGAGGCCCATGGGACCTTCGGCTTGAGCCAGCGGGCGAGCCAGCTGTCCGCCCAGGTCCGGTTCCGCCGCCCCAGCGCGCTGCGCATGAAGACCCACCTCGAATACATGAGGTGCGCGTCGTCTTTCCGCTCGCGTTCAGCGCCGAGCGGCGCCCAGTGCCGTCCCGTGTTGAGCGGGAGCATCGCGCCGCAGCCGGTCCGGACGTCCCTCGACTTGCCGATCACGCCGCTGTTGGCGACCATCCGGTCGCCCAGGGTCAGTGCGAAGGTCGCACCCGGACGGCCGAACGCCTCGCACATACGGAAGATGTCGTTGCCATATGTCGGGTGGCAAGGGCTGCCCTTGCAAGCGATCCCTGTGATGGGCGAGCCACAGCTGTACAGAAAGGCGTGGTCGTAGCGCATTTTCGCCTTTAGCCTGCCAAACCTCGGGCAGGCGCGGTCGTCTTCCACGCCAAAATAGTACTCCAGGCGGAATGCCAGGCTTGGGAATTCCGCAGATTTGGGCGCGTACGTGTGAGGTTCAACCGCCTTGGTCACGCAGCACGGGTGCCACTTGCCCGAGCAAGACTTGATGGCGCAGCCGGCGGTGCACTGCGGGTCGCTATACTTCTCCCAGCGCGTGCTCCTCGGAGCCTCGAGCACCGTCGCGCGTGGCACGCAGCTCCTGCGCATTGCCATTGTGGCGGCGATTCGCACCGGAACGAGGATGGGATCACGTCTAGTTGGATGGATCGCTCGCGCCTTCTTCTTTTCTCTCCGGCCAGTCTGCGCGCCAGTCCCGTGCCTACTGTGGGGTCGCTAAATTTCTTTCCAGTTTTCCGGACATGTCCACGGCCGCCCGGCCGCCCGCAGCGCCGCTTTGCTCTCGCAAGCAGTCCATGTCGCCATCGCTCGACTCCCTGCCCGAGCCCTCGCTCGTCTTCAGCCGCCTCGACCTGGCGACGGCGACTAGCTTGGCGGCGGTCAGCAAGAGCTGGCGCGCAGGCTGTCACGAACCGCTTTGCGAGCCTCGCTGGCAGTTTTTCCTCCAGTCGCGGTGGGGCGTGGAGGCGACGGACCGCCCGCGCGAGGCGCTCGCGTGGCTCGAGACGGCGGTGCGCAAGGAGATGGCTTGCTCCTACCGGCGCGGCTTCGAGACCATGTTCAGCGGTGGTGCTTTTTCGCTCAGCGTGCACGTCGACCACGCACTCCTCGCTGAATCGGAGCTCTTTGAATCGGAGCTCTTTTGGGAGGCGCCCGCGCGCAAGCTGCTGCTGTGGCTACCGCTCCACGAGCGGCGCCGGCTCGCCAGCTTCGTGTGCCACGACTCGCACCCTCGCGCCTCGCTCGACCGCGTGCTGCGCGCCTTCCCGCAGGCGGGCTCGCCAAGTCCGCTAGCGGCGCTGCGCGGGCTTCTGCTCCAGTTCCCGTTCCTGCCCATCGACGCTGGCTCTGGCGCCGACCGCGTGATCGGCCTGTTTTCAATGCACTGGCTGAGGGACAACCCATCCGCCTGGGCGTCGGTCGGCCTCGACGGCGGCTTGCCGCTGCCAGAGGCGCGGCATACCGTCTACTCGCTCGTGTACGCCACGATCGTGCTCAACACCGACCTGCACAACCCCGCCGTCAAGACCAAGATGTCGCGCGCCCAGTTTCTCACCAACTGCCGCGAGGCCCCATACCTGCAGTTCGTGCCGGAGCGGCTGCTCCTCGAGACGTGAGCACCCTCCTCCACCCCGCCACCGCCTCGGCCCTGGCTCTGGCTCCGCCACTGCCGCGCTCGGCCCCTCGGCCCCGCCCCGCGTGCCGCGCGATCGAGGCCCTGCTCGAGCCTGCGGACACGCCCCGCCCTAGGTACGAGTCGATTCGCACCTCGCCGCTCGCCATCGCGCCAGGCCCGCGCGGCCGAAGCGTCTCCTCGATCGTGCGCTCGACGGGCGACGAGGAGATCGACGTCGCCGCCACCCTCTCCACGCACTCCACCCTCGGCCCAGAGGCCGTCGCGGCCGCCGCGGCCGCCGCGGAGGCGGCGGGGGGTGCGGCGGCGCGCGCGCCCGAGGTGGACTGGGTCGTCGCCTACTACAATGTCCTCGACATGCTCCGCTGGGCGCGGGCGCGGGTGGCTCCGCTGCACCTGGCATCGGTGATGGCAGTGGCGGTGGTGGCCGCGGTGTCCCTCGCGCTTGCGCCGGCTCTGTTGTCCCCGGCATCGTGAGCAGTCTACATTGAGGCTGCGCTTTGCTCCCTTTCTCGCGCGCGCGCTCTCTCTCATGTGGCGAGAGGCAGTGCAGCCTTTGAGGCTTGCGAGAATTTTTGACCGCGCAAGACAAAGGGTGGCTAAGGGCTTTGCCCGCAAGGCGCCCGCGTCGCCGACGCGGTACCATTGACTAATCCCGGAATACACACCCACACGACCCAATAGCGAAAATCCGAATACCGTGCAAAAACCACGGAATCTGCGACGAAGAACGTCGGGGCAAGTTTGGCTAACTCCATAACATGGGCGATCCGGCGCTTCCTTCGATTGGACGGACGAAATGATCGGGAAAAGCGGGACCGCCATGTCGGGGGTTCACCATATATGCCGAGCCTGCTCGGCCTGCCATGCGCGCGCGCGCCTCGCCCGAGCGCAGCCACCTGCGGACCTGGCCAGCCTGTTCCTGGCTCGTGCCCAGCCTCTCCTTCCGCTGCCGCCGGCCTCGCAGTCCCGCCAGCCATCACGCTGCAGAGCCTGCGTAGACGCCACAGACGCCAATTCTGCAGCCCACAGCCCTGGCAACTCGAGGGCCAGCAGTATACGACGACGACGACATCTCACACCCCGCGCTGGCCAGCGCCATCAGCCCCTCACGGCCCGGCCCAACCTTCCCTTCCCCACCCTCGCCTCCAGTGCCTCCAATCAAGTCGCACCTCTCTTCTTCAGGGTTCAGCGAATGCAGCGGCAGCACCACGTCAGAGGCCGGGCCGACTGGCGGACCTGCATGCCCAGCCATGCCCCCCACTCCCCAACCGCTTGGATCGATCAGCTGACAGCTCCACCAGCTCCCACCACCGCGTGTCGTGTTCATGAAGCACGAATAGATAGACATAGAAAGCATGAACCATCGAAAGGTCTGATCTCCAAAAAGACCTGCCGCGCGCGCCCGCGCCCCGCCCCTTTTGCGCAGCAACACCTTAAACTTCATGGCCCTCCAAATTCGGGTCGGAGCGTAGCGGAGTGGGCCCCGAGTTTGAAAAAGGCGACGGACGCTTGCGTCCTAGCCTCCAACAACGCCTCCCCGGCGCAGAGGGGCCCCCGGAGGGATGCTCAACCGCTCCACGCCACGCCGCTTGCGGCGGTCCCATTCCCTCGAGGGGCCACTCCTTATTTTATTGCGGGGATTCAAATTCTTTTTATCGGTGAGCACTTGCTCGAGCACTTGGAGTGCAGTCATCAGCCTGGGCCAGTGACTGAATGTCTTCCCTCCTGCTGTGCCTGTCGTTTGCACCACCCCAAGGCTTGCGCGTGGCTCCTGTGCACGCGACCGCCGCCGCCGCCGCCGCCGCGGCCTCTCCCCGCGCCGCCGATTCCTCTCTTTTTCAGCGGCTTCCGCTTGCTGCCTGTGCTGCTGCCGCGCTGATCGCGTGGGCGGACCCCGCGATGGCCGTCAGTGGCGGGGGAAAGGACTACTCTGGCTTCGACCTCACGGGACAGGACCTCGGCGGCCAGACTCTCAACGGGAAGGAGTTCCGTGGAACTTTTGCGAAGGGTGTCCGCCTCACTGCACTCGCGGCTGCCGCTCTCTGTCCTCTGTCCTTCCTCTCCGTCGCTGCGTGATGACACCGCTTACGTTCTCGCCGCCGCCTCGCTCCTCACCGCTCATGCCCGGCAGCGCTTCCCTCGCCACTTGCCACTGTTGCTGTCGCGAAAGCGCCTCCTTCCAACAAGAAAAAGAACGATCGTACACTGCACACCATAGGCGCCTCCTTTAAGGACTCCAAGCTGCGCGGCTGCTCCTTCTTCAAGGCGGACTAAGATAGAGGCTGCGTGTCGCTCCAGCGTGGCTATCTCCACTTCCGCTTGCGTCCACCCATACCGTCGGTGGTGTCCAGTCACTTGTCAGACTATTCTTCAACCTCTCTGTCCGTGCAGGCTCGTCAATACTGACGCGAACCATTTTGCCACTCTCTCCTCAGGCGGACATGTCCGAGGTGGATTTCTCCGGCGCGGCTCTCCAGCGCTCCAGGGAGGCTGCGAATCACGCACCGTCCACCACGGACCATCTCACTGTGAACAGGCGCGGACCTCTCAAGCGCATCGCTGGAGGAGGCTGGGCTGACCGGCGCGTTGATGGACGGCGCGGTGCTCGAGTCTGCGTACCTGACGAAGACCATCGCCGACGCCGAGTCCATCAAGGGCGCCGACTTCACAGAGGCCGTCATGCCGCTGCCGACGCAAAAGGCGCTGTGCGCCAGAGCGGACGCGATTGGCAAGAACCCGACCACCGGCGCGGACACGCGCGAGTCGCTCATGTGCGTGTGAGTGCGTGTGCGAGAGGCGGCAGAGGCCGTACACCGTGGCTCGTGCCCCTCTGTGCTTGCTCACTCACCACACCGAGACCTTGCCGAGGGGTCCCGTACCATGCTCCATGCGGAATCGACCCTATCCACAGTGCTCAAGTGCTCAAGAGATCGTCGGAAAAATCTTTTTATCTGGTGTGTACCTGTACCTGTGTTTGTGCCAGTGCGCGCCAGTCCCGTGCCCAGTGTCGTGCGAGGGAAGAAAGAAAGAAAACAGGACAACCCAAGGGAGGGGGATGGCGGAGCGGGAGGACGGCACGCCGCCGCCACCACACGGGGATTTTAAGGAGAGGGGTGTGATGCGCTAGCCGTCGCCCACCCTTGGTCGTCCGCCTCTTCCGATCTCTCTTCGCAGTCTCTCGCCGATTCTCGCTGCAACCTGCAACCTTCATGCCACCCCGCGGTCGTCCCACTCTCGTCGTTCTCTCTCTTGTCTCGCTTCTTCCTCTGTCGCGTCGCTCTCCTCTGCCTCGTTCTGCGACGGCGCTGCCGCCTGCCGCTCCCTTGCTCTCGGGGAGCGCGCGAGCGGCTGTTGCTTGCAGAGAGTCTCTCTTATATATATCTTACTCTATAGCCTGCATGTCCCACGTTAAATTGGAGAGTGTGGGAGATGCGTCGCGGGCGCGACGTCAATATGTTTCCGTGTGTTCATTAGGTATGCAACGGCACAGGAATCTTCATGAGAGATAGGCACACTCTCGCGACTCGCCCTGCGACTTGTCAGGTGTCACTAGTGACGAGCGTGGCTTCAACCACGACGAGTCCGCCGTCCGGCGGCTCAGCTCCACCCGACTCGGCTGTCCCTTGCAGCAGCGCTGAGATGCGCGACTCCGAGCCACCAAAGTTATGCGGAGTCAAGTAGGCGGCGCTCCACCGACTCCCACCGCCGCGGGCAATATCGAACGGCGTCTCGCCCGCATCGTTCCGAAGACTGGGATCCGCCCCGTGACGCAGCAACGCCTCGACCATCTTCTCGTCGCGGCAGCGCACAGCCATGTGCAGCGCCGTGTCCTCGTACCGGCCGTCGAAGCGAGAGCACGGCCAGTTGTGCTCGTTGATCGCGTTGTCAAAATCGGTGGGCAGCATCCTCGCATCGGGAGAGACACCGCGCAGCAAAAAACCGCATGCAGCGGGTACGTCGCCCTCGTGCACGGCCCAGAAGTAGTGCTGCTGCGACGAGTACCGCACCACACCGTAGCGAATGGCCAGGGCGTCAGCCGCGGCGGCCGGCTCGGAATGCCTTCCCTGCAGTGGAGGGCCCATGTCTCTCTCATCGTCCGAGCATCGGTTGGGGTCGTATGCATCGTCGTCCTCGGAGTTGGACATGGTGAGGCCGCACACGGGCAGGAGAAACGCCGGCCCAGACGCACGAATCGCGCCACAGGGACGCGGCTCAGACGCACAATCGCGCCACAGGGACGCAACTCAGACAGGGACGCACGTTTGTTAGCAGGTGCGAATTCTTTTTCACACAGTGCCAGTGCGCGCGTGCGTGCCCAGTGTTGTGCGAGAGAGTTCTGTTGTAAAATTTTGTTCCCACACCTCACACACGGACACACGCAATGCGCGCAGAAGCCCTTAGTCCGGCCCAATTTCTTTTGTGTGTGTGATATCTCTTTGAAGTTTGATATATGACGGCTAATCGCCTTTGACGATGGGGGAGGAGGACAGAGTCCACACCTGCACGAGCAGGATTTTGGAAGGACGATCAGGGGCACAGGTGGGGCTCTCCTGCTCCTGACAAGGGACACGACAGGCTCGCAGCGCGGTGGCCGCTGATGGCCGGTGCACGGTGGACTCCCAACTCCACTGGCGGTCTCATCTCAGTCTATAGCGACCTGCCTCCAGCTTCTCACTGGCAGTCTCTCGCAACCACAGGCACACTGGCACAGGGGTGGCAGGGGCGGCGGCAGGAGTCTCCCACCCACATACTATGCGGGCCTCGCTAGAGGTGCGTCCTGTGTGTGTCCTCGCCCTTGAGGGTCTTGATTGAGGGGGAAGGGGAAGGCGCTGTGTCTGTGCATGCATGCATGCATGCATGCATGCATGCATGCATGCATGTGTGTGTGTGTGTGTGTGTGTGTGTGTGTGTGTGTGTGTGAGTGCGCGCGCGAGCACCGAACGAAGCCCCGCGAGCGCCGGCGAGCACCGCCACCCGCGCCTCGGCGTGGAGCGGTAGTAGATGATGCGGCGCCCAGCATGCAGGGAGTTTTGTTGTGAAATTGCTAATTTTTTTGAGCTTAGCCTTCGATGTATGAAACAAACGCAAGGCGGCGGACCCCTCCGGCTTTTTGTTTTGTTTTTCACGCCACCTTGCGGTGACATTTCACCACGTTCCAAGTCGAAGACCAAGACCAGGCCGCATTCGACGGTGAGGGACACTACATGGCGACGAACAAGCCTGTTGGCGTAGAGCGCTCGTTTGTCCGTCACGACTTCAAGGTCGCGCCGCTCGACCTTCGCTGGCACTCTCTGAGCGTCACGATCAACCGGCCACGCGCTTCGCCAGTGCTGGCTCTTCAGCCGTGTTCTGGAGCTATGGAAGCGGGCAGCCTACTCGCGGCAATGGGACCGTCTGGAGGCGGCAAAACCACGCTACTCAACGCCCTCGCGCACCGCGGCCCAAGCAGCGGCGGCGAGGTTCTCTACGGCGGCAGTGTGTGGTCGGCGCGCCTCAAAAGGCGCGTCGGGGTCGTGGAGCAGGACGATCAGGTCTTGCAGCAGCTGACCGTTGGCGAAAGCCTTCGGTTTGCCGCGGCGCTGCGGCTCTCGCACCTGACGCCGGCGGCGCGGGAGGCGCGCGTTGCCTCTCTCCTTGCCATCCTGCGGCTCGCGAGCTGCGAAGGCACTCAGGTCGGCGACTCGTCGAGCGCCGCAAGCCGCGGGATCTCGGGAGGAGAGAGGAAGCGCCTCTGCATAGCGTGCGAGCTCCTGACGATGCCGTCGCTGCTCTTCCTCGACGAGCCCTCCTCCGGTCTCGACTCGTCAATGGCGTACGTGCGCGCCGTCGCCCTGTCCTCCCGCCACGAGTGTTTTCACTTGGGCCCATAAGGACGTTTAGCACTGATATTTGGATCCTTGAGGGCTGCGCGTTGCAGCTTCACCGACGTCGCTCGCGCCTCGCCTCACCCCGCTCTGTCTCGGTGGTTTGCAAGGTGGTCGTGGACGTGCTGCGCGAGCTCGCGCACACGCACGGCGTCACGGTCGTCGCCTCGATTCACCAGCCGAGCTCGCAGGTCTTCGCGCTCTTCGACTCGCTCCTCCTCCTCAAAGCTGGACTCACGCTCTACCACGGACCACGCGCCGCCGCGGCGGACCGCTTCGGGGCGTTGCTCGGCAAGGCGCGCCCTCCGGACTTCTCGGCCGCCGACTGGCTGATGGAGGTCCTGGTGCTCGAGCGCTGCTCCACCGCGCAGGAGCGGCGCTACCTCTCCCCCCCTCTCTCCACCCTTCCCACCCCCACCCCTCTCCCTCCCAGCCCTTCTACCCCCACCTCTCTCTCCTCCTTCTCCCACCCCCCCTCCTCCGTCCACCTCGGCTGCCCCTCTCCCTCTTCTCCCCTCCCTCTCCCGCCTCCACCTCCGTCTCACGCCTCCGCGTCTTCCGCCGCCCAATGGCCCCCTCTCCCTCCACCCCCCCCCCCCCGCCCCCTCTCCCTCCCCCCCCTCCCCCTCGCCCCTCCACAGGAGCTCCTCCTCCGTGCCGAGGCCGAGGCGGCGGCAGAGTCGGCGTTTGAGAGCGCGGCGCCAGTCCGCGCCAGCGCAGAGGCCTCGAGCGCAGACGCTGCCTCTCCGCCCCCGACTTGGGCCTACCAGGCGACGGCGCTGCCGAGCTTGTGCGGCGGCGGCGGCGGGCCGTCTGACCGGAGTCCTTCCGGGGCGCACTAGGTGAGAGTGCTCGGGGCGCGCGCCTGGCGGCTCGCTCGCGGCTCAATCTGGGTGCACGAGATAGCAGCCCTGCAGCTGTGCATCGGCCTGCTGGTATGCCTCCCCCGCTGCCCCCCTAGCTGCCTCCCTAGAGTCCTCCCTACCCGGGTAGCTGCCTCCCCAGCTGCCTCCGATGCGCGGCGCCCCTGTGCGCTTGCCAGCAGACGAGCCCCCCGTCTCCGGCGCGAGCCTCGTTTGTGAGTGCGAGATGGCTTGTGCGTCAGCAGCTGCGGTCTGCCACGTTGAGGTCCGATTTGCCGCGCGCGTGTCCCCGCCACCCCCAGGCGGGCTTCCTCTTCTTCCGACTCGGCTACGACGCGGCCGACGCGCGGTCGCGCTTCTCCGCCTCCTTCCTGTCCAGCATCAACTGGATGTTTTTCCCTCTCATGGCCGCGCTGCCGCTCGTCCCGCGCGACGAACGGATGGCGCGCAGGCAGCTGCAGCAGGCGCGCCCCCAATCCGTGCCCCCAACCCCGCCCCCAACCCCAAGCCCAGGTGCGCAAGGAGCTGCAGCAGGGCGCCGCTTGCGTCAGCGCGTGGTACGTGCCAACCACGAGCATCGCGCTGCTGCCCGAGCTGCTCCTCCTCGTCGTCAACGCCGTCCCTTTCTACTGGCTCGCCGGCATCGCGGACGACGCGGCCGCTTTCGCGCTGACACTGCTCAGCCAGGTGTCCCTCGAGGGACCAGCCGAGATCAGCCGAGATCAGCCAAGATCAGCTGAGAACGCCGAGATCGCCCGAGATCGCCCGCGAGATCGCCCGAGATCACCCGCCGCCGCTCCGCCAGGTGCTCATTGTGGTAACGTTCCACAGCGTCGGCTTGCTGCTCGCCGTCGGAGCGACTTTCACGCGCGCCAACTCGGGCACGCTCTCGATGCTCTTCATGTCGTTCTGCTTCCTCTTCACGGGCATCTTTGTGCCTCCTTCCCAGATGCCGCTGCCCGAGCTGCGCTTCGCGTGAGCCGCAGCCCCTGCCTTTCCCTCCGCAGGGTCAGAGCATCCCCCCACCGACCTCCCACCCACCTCTTGCCGCGTTTCCACAGGAACCCGCTCTACTATGCGACTTCCCTCATCGCCCAGCTCGTCTTCCTCCAGGGGACCGAGTACGCGTCGCCCGTGCCGGGCGGACCTCCTGTGCCGCGCGACGAGGTGCTGGCCACGCTCGGCATCGGCACCCCGGCCTCGGGCTGGTGCGCCCTCATCCTCGTCGCCTTCGCCTCCGTGGCTCGCTGCGGCGCGCTCCTCCTGCTGCAGTGGCGCCTGCGGCGTGACCTGCAGCAGAGCGCCGCGGCGGCCGGACCCGCTCGCCGTCGCTGGTGTCTTCCGGGCGGTGGGCCGCGGCTCCTCTTCCGCCGCCGCCGGCCCAAGAGAGTGGGTGGTGGCGCTCCGATAACGGTCGTGGCCGCGGCCAGGTAGGTGAGCGTTGTGGCCCGGCCCGTGTCCCGCCGAGAGGGTCTTTGATTCGTGCATATTGGAGGGAGGGCGTATTCCGCGGAATGCAGTATGAGACGTAGTCATCTATAATATAATCCAGTCACCTGTCCCCGCCCGCCTCGCCACATCACAGCACCTCTCGCCAGCACGAGCGAGAGTGTGTCGTGTGTTTGAGTCATCACATCGCCTCGGGTGCTGTGCCTCTTCGCCACTTCCGCCAACAGCCAACACTTGAACCTGCCTCGAGTATCAATGGCACGGGCGCCGGGGACCAAATCGGACATCATGGACAACATCATGGAGAGCATGGACAACATCATGGACAGCATGGAGCATCCGTTGGGCCCAAACAACGACACGGTGGGCTGGCCTTCATTGACATCCTGTACAACGTCTACGATTTAGTCTCGGTTGACGGATACGTGGTCATTGACTATGGCTGGAATCATGCTACAAAGTGTGGCTCTAAGGAAGCTCATCCATTGTTTGGTGCCAACAAGCTCTTCTCGACTTCCGTGCACTCCACGGCATGGAAGATAAAGCGCACAGAATGCATAACCCGGGTTCGGTGCATGGTTCCGGAAGGCACGGAATGTCGCAGACCAGTCCGTCGCCAAGAATACATTGGCTCATTGGAAACAGGCAACCAGTCCATCCTGAAGCCGAGCCCACCTCTCACATGTAACGACTATGCGAGGTTGATGGCCTTGCACAACAAATCTACGGGTGCTGCTGAGTCGGACTATCATGCAAATGTGCAGCGGCGTCGGCGACTGAGGCAACAGCGAGGCGCAGCTGGAGCCCTCCCGCTCGAGCGGCTGGTGAAGCGTATGCAGCGAGTGCAGCAGTCGCAACGGCACATCGGCGTATCCGTGAGTTCGAGCGCGGGGCGAGGCGGACCGCGCCCCCATTCCCGGCAAAATCGTTCATCATCAGCGAAGAAGAATTTAAACAACAACTCACTGTCTAGCACCGAAGAAGAATCTTCGCAGTATCGCGCAGCCGGGCTCGGCAACGAGGTCCATCAGTAGGGCTCATCCAATGCCCTTGCGCGAGCGCACATTGTGCGTAGCTTCCGCAAGCAGGTGTAGTGCACTGTCGTACACCGAGAGAGAGTCAGTAAGCTAAAAGTACACCGACTGTGCTGGGCCTGTGAGTGAGGGCCCCACAGCACAGTGGTGTTGGCCATTCTCGCTCGAGTAAGAATTGGTGTGGCAGCAGCAGCCTGCTGCTGCCTCATTCAACTGAGCCAGTGGCGCAGCGAGGCACGCAGAATTCGCGTGCTAAGGTACATTGAAGGCTGAGCGCATTCATGAGCGCGTGCGATCGAGCCCGGCAGCACGCGTGGAAGTCCGGCGCGGCGTGTCTTAGACTTTGGCGCGGCGTGTCTTAGACTTTAGTTCTTGCAATACTATCAATCACGCATTACTTACACTCCTTGCTAAGCAGGCTAAGCTTCCCCGCGCTTTCTTCCCCTAAGATACCAAGTACACTACAGTCGTGGCAAGGGCGACGCCCCCTACACGGAGCCCGCGCAGCGGGGACTCTAGATTTCCTCTTGAACGAACAAGCTAAAATCAGCATATCGAGCGTGACCTCTTGACAAATGACTCGCTCGACGCGAGACATCCGATCGAAGTAAAATGTGTGGAAGTTTCTGAGAGAGCCGTTACGCAAAAGCATGCGCGCTTGCACTCTTTCGTGCCACTCGCTCGCCGGTGCGCGGGGCATGGCCTCCCGCGCGTGTTATGGCCCTGCGAACGCGCGCACCCCAGGGCTAGGGCTCTCTTGCCCGCAACCCGATCCCGATCATCCGGCCCGCTGGGTGCGCTCCTCAGGTCCCCGGCCCTGGATGTGAGGCTGATAACTGCACTCCAAGTGCTCCAAGTTTCACATGTGACGTTTTAGATTTAGCAGATCAAGATGTGACGCACGAGCAAAGCTGGGAGGACAACCTGAGACTGGGGAGGAGAACCTGATGACTTGAGGTTCTCCCCACTTTCCGCGTAGCAAGCTGGACCACTGCGCACTGGCTGGCACGTCAAAATATTAATCTTGTCATATGAGCGTGGAGAGGGGGCCGGGCTGAGGGCGGAGGCGGGGGCGGGGGCGGCGGCGGTGGTGGTGGTGATGATGAAGTTGATGATGCTGGTGTGTGTGTGTGCCAGAGTCGGCGCTCCTGAGGGAGGGTGTAGAGGATGTAGAGTGTAGAGCACTGTAGAGCTGTAGAGATGTAGAGCGCTGTAGAGCTGTAGAGCTCTACATCCGCCGCGTGACGAGGCGCCTGCGTTGTGGAGCGATGTAGAGGCGCTCTACAACGTGAAATCTCTACAACAAACTCTACATCATAAGCGGCGAACGAGGCACGGTCGCTCTCCGACATGGGGCGCGTTGCACTTGCCAGTGCTGCCCTGGCCTTCTGTCTGCCCGCCCAATGGGTGGCAGATGCCTCTGCTGCTGTGGCATGCCTCACGGCTGCGACTGGCCGGCGCCTCGGCGCGTCAGCTCGGCTCGGCGTAGCGATCGTGGCCAGCGCAACTCGCCTGGACTCAACGCTCAGCCAGGAGCTCCCGCACGCGCTGGCGCGAGTCATGGCGCAGATAAGGCGTCTGAATGCTCGCCTCGCCTCGCGCAAATGCGACCGTCCTCGCAGCCGACAGTCCACCGCCTGCTAAAGAAGCACAGCGACGAATGCGGCACCGGCGACACATGGCAGGCTGGTCATGACGCAGTTATAGGGTGTTGTGTGCCGTCAGAGGGACTCTCTGTGTGTCAGGGATAGTCAGGGCTGTCCATCAGAGCTTCACTAAGCTCGGTAAAACCCCATTAGCGCGGCTCGACCTCTTTGAGTCACTGCCTTCCCGGCGGTTTGGCTGTAGAGCCTCTACAACAAACTCTACAACAAAATCGCGCTCTACATCGCTCTACAACGCAGGCGCCTCGTCACGCGGCGGATGTAGAGCTCTACAGCTCTACAGCGCTCCAGAGCGCTCTACATCTCTACAGCTCTACAGCGCTCTACACTCTACATCCTCTACACCCTCCCTCAGCGGCGCTCCCGGCGCTTGGAATACCTCTGCGGTCATTGGCATGAGATACATGTTCGGCTATGCCAGTGCCTTCAACCAGGATATCAGCGCCTGGGACGTATCCGCAGTCACTGATATGAGCGGATTGTTCAGCTATGCCAGTGCCTTCAACCAGGACATCAGCGCCTGGGACGTATCTGCAGCCACTGACATGAGCAGATTGTTCGAACGTGCCCTTCGCTTCAATCGGGACATCAGCGCCTGGGATGTGTCCACAGCTACTACTATGTATAAAATGTTCGTCGGCGCCGCAGCCTTCTCCCGGTTGCTCTGCTCAGATGCGTGGCGTGCCTCCAGGGACAAAGGGATATCGTTCAATCTAGGAGTATTGAACGCAGCTGGGGTATATGTAGACACTCGCTGTTCCACTTATCCGAGATGTGGCAACTTTCGCGCTAGCTGCGGCATCTGCGGCCCTCCTACGTGTTGCACGAACGGGTGTTGGTAAAGATTAGTTTTTTCCTACGTGTTGTCGGCAAGAAACAAAGATGAAAGAACACCAAGAATTCTTAAAATAAAGAAAACACCGACCCAAGGAGGGATGGGAGGACGGCACGCCGCCACCACACACGTTGACGTTGTCTTGTCCGTGCGATATTTTTCCTGACAACCGCCTCCGCCAGCTCTGGTGTCACAGCTCCCCCGCTCTGAGAGGACTTTTGCGGTTCAGCTCGACAGCTGGAGCTGTGTCGCCGGCGCGCGGGGCGGCCTGCCTCCGGAGGCGTGCCTCTGAGCTGGACATTTTGGGTCACCGCGTAACGCCCGTGTGCTCGTCGCTGGGCAAGAAAAGGGTTTAGGGTTCGTGCTTGGCCTCAATTTCTTTTTCCACACCCCTTGTCAGAGGCTGGCGCGCGGTGAAGCTGCTGAGCGCGGCTGGACCTGCTGCTGAACGGTGGCCATGTCGGGCGCGCGCTGGCGACAACATCCGCCGCGTCGGAGCGGCTGGCCGCTGCCCAGGACACGCAGTACTCATCGCCCGGCTGCAGAGCGTTGGTCCCTCCTCTGTTTTTGTTCGCTTCTTTCTTGGGCGACTTGATTTGTTAAATCGACTCGCGCGCGAGAAATTCTTAAAATCGGAGCTTCACCCTTTCTTCTCCTGCTGTCTGTGGGCCCGAGAGCGATGCGTGGCGTCTCCGCCTTGTAAAAATAAAAATAAGAAACTTCAAATGCAGCGTGACACCTTCATTTCATCATCAAAGCCCCCCAAAGGACCAACTCGCGCCGCTGTCACTTCCTGTCTCTACTCGTTGGCCTTTCCTCTACTTCCTCGATGAGCTTCGTCGCGCGGCCAACCATCCCAGCGCCCAAGGCGTCCTACGTGGAAGGGCTCCGCGCCAAGGAGCGCGAGGGCAAGAAGACGATCGCTCGCGCCGCAGCGGCCGCAGCGCCGAAGCAACCGTTCAAGACCGCGCTCGTGATCAACGGCGGCGGCCTTCTGCCCGTCGTAAGCGCGTACGGCATCTTTCGCGGCCTGTACAAGGCCAACGTTGGCGACGTGCCCTGTGCCCTCGACCAGTTTGACGTCATGGCGGGTGCCTCGCTCCTGCCCCGCCTCGGCCTGACGGCCCACACAACCCATCCTCCCACCCTCTGCCAGGCGTCTCTGGCGGATACCTTGCCAGCCAGACGTACTGCTACGCCAACAAGGACGGTACGCCCTTCAACGGCAACAAGTCGCGCCCCGAGCTGGACCCGGTCAACTTCCTCAACACCAAGGCAAACTCGGACCCGAACTCGATTACGTGGGACGACCTCCTCACGGACAACTCAAAGGCCTGCGGCGACAAGCCGGAGACTGGCTACTACAACTGGATCGTCCGCCAGCCCGGTTTCTTCAACCCCGGCCTTGTGTCCGGCATCATCATTTCGTTCTCCTTTGGCTTCGTCGCCCGCATCCTCTCCTTCGGCAAGTGCGTCGGCCGCGGCTGCTGGCCAAAGTACGGGTGGCTGTGCGTGCCCCCTTTCGCTGTCGGCTTCCCCTCCGCCTTCCGCTTGTTCTTGTTCAACTTCTTTCTCCGCCCCCTCGGCATCTCACAAAACAAGTACACGGCCACGGGCCCCGACCAGGTCTCCGACGTGGCCTGCGCCGCCGGCGTCAACGAGTGCGAGGTAGCCTACCCGCGCCCCGACGCGCCGACCCCAATGGCGCACTCGCAAGTGATCGAGGTGCGAGCTACCCACTCACCACAGCCCCTCCCTGCCACTATCCCGCCTCTTACCCGACCACTCACCCTCCCGGATCCCGCCGCGGCTGCCGTCAGGTCACAGGCGTCGGCTACCGCAACTTCGTCGGCCCGCTCGCCGCCTGGGCCCGCGAGGTGTCTGCGTCTGTCTACGCCGCCACAAACGACGAGAAGGAGAAGGCGGAGGCGGCGGGCATGGGCTTCGGCATCTACACGGCGCTGAAGCTTCAGCCCAAATACAACAACGTGAGCGTCGTGCCGTACACCTTTACGCCCGGGATGGCCATCACGCAGTACGACCCGAAGAATGTGAGCGACCCGAGCAAGCCCGACAACGGTCCGATGACCTTCGACCGCAACCTCGGCACCTGCTGCATCGATCCGCCGGACGTCAAGTTCCTCTCCAACTCGCAGCACCCGTCGACCTGGGTGGAGAAGCCGAGCTGCATTCCGTGCGCGCCCATCACCTCCTCGGAGCACCTGTCCCCAGAGGCGATCATGTGCCTGACGGCCGACTTCTTTACGCAAGGGCAGCCCGAGGACGTCCCAGCTGGCCCCGAAGCCTGCCTGCTTCGATACCTCCCCTGTGGGCCCAGCCTCCCCTTCCCCCCCGCGGCCAACGTGAAGTACGAGTTCAAGACAAACGCGCTCTCGCCGCCCGACGCGCTCAGCGAGCCGACGCACTGCTACTTCTCTGACGGCGGCGTGCTCGAGTCGACCGGTCTGGCCGGCACCATCGCGCAGGGCGTCTCAAAGGCGGCCAATGCCCTCCCAGCTGTCTCTCGCTCCGCACATGCTGCTCACCCCCCCCCCCCCCCCACTCTTCCTCACGGCTGTCTCCCTGAGTGACCGCCACTCCCTGACCGTTCCCCTGACTACACAGGCAGCTGCGGTGATCAACGCCTTCGAGCAGGGCCCGTGGAAGAAGTACAATGAGGAAACGTGCGCCCAAAAGGTTGGTGACATTCCCATCATCGGCAAGTTGCCCTGCGCCGAGCAACACCCGAAGGGGGCTCCTTGGACGTGGACGTTTGATCCGTTCGCCAACAACAGCTTCGGCTACATGGGCTCGTCGCTTGCGTCGTGCTTCGGGGTGCAGCCGCCCCAGCTCCTCGGTGCTTCCGAGAAGTACTCCGTGCGGCCGATCTCCGTCCTCAACCACATCCTCGACAACAACCCGGACACCTACGACTTCCGCAACCTGTCGATCCCCGAACCCAAGTGTTACGAGGACGTGCGGAAAGTGCCGTGGCCGCCGACGCCTGACTCGGGGGGGGGCAAGATCTCGCCGTGGGAGTACCTAATCCAGTACATGACTTACTGCCAGCACGCCGGCCAGCCGCTCGTGTGCACGCTCAAGGGTCTCAAGGTGCTCGACAACCCCTTCTGGGGCACGACGACGGCGCAGGACGATGTGACCCTCACCGTGGTCTGGATCACGCTGCCGATCATCTGGGCGCGCGCCTCTAATACGGGCACTTTCCACACTTGTGCCCGCCCACCTCCGCCGCTGTTGCTTCTAGGCGAACGATGTGCGCAAGAGTCTCAGCCAGAGCTCGCCGGGGTGCTCGCCGCAGCGCGCCCTCGCCAACTGCAAGATGGCAAGCTACCCCGATGACTACAACGGCGACAGCCCTTTTGGCTGCTTCGGCAACTTCCCATACTACTTTTTCGCCCCACTGGGGGTCGGCGGCTCGGTCAACGAGATCCTCGGCAACGTTGGGAGGATGCTGCCATTTGAAATTCCATTCGCTGGATGGACAAAGGAGGAAGTTGCCCTTTTCGGCTGCCTCGGCGCGGTTCGGCTCTTGACCTCGCTCTTATAGACAGTGTCCGTCTCACGCGCCACCCGTCTGCGAACAGGCGACTACATCGTCAACGGCGACGAGGGCACGAAGTACTCGCGCAAGGCCAACTTCACGTGCCTCCTCGAGTAGATTTCGAGTCGACGTCTCGCGGTCCCTGTCACGCACGGCTCGACGAGAGCCGTGCCGACCGTCGAGGCCCTGTGTGCATGTCGCCCAGGCTGCGGGCTCGCAGCGGTACAGTTTGTGGTAGGTTAAGGAGAGTAGAGTGACGGACCCTTGCAGCTGTGCACTTTCCAACGAGAAATGTTCAGGAATTCACCGCGGAGTTTTTTGCAAATCTGGCTCGAAATGATCTCTCAACTCCATCACGCTCACACGTCGTCACCCTGGACTCCCAGAGCACCCAGGCGGCATAAAGAACTGCGATAACTCAACCCTCTCAATCAAAATCAGCCCAATAGAGACCGCGGAGCCCCGGGGTTGCGCCAAATGCGAGTAAGAACCGCGCGAACGCGGCGCTGTCTAGACGGCGAGCACTGACCACTGATCACACCAGTCGACTCGCATCGGTTGCCTCCATGAACGGCGGAGCTATTCTCGCGTCCACACCACACCTGGCTCCAACGTGGACACGCCCATAGCTGGGGACACTACTAGGTCACGCATGGCATCAGAAGTTTTATCTCTGGGCCCCGAAAGGCATCTCTAGCAGCGTCGTTACGCATGCGCCCTCCCCTCCTGGGCGCAAGCGCCTCACGTCTCGACAGAGCATAAGCCCTTGGCGTGTGGCGAGACGAGTTTTCGCCATGCAGCGAGCAGCAAGCCGCCCGCCGCAAACAGCCGGAGGCCTCGCCGCGGCCCGCCCTCGTTACCTTTCGCGACGTTCACTACTCCGTAAAGCTGTCCGGCCAGGGCCGGCCGGAGTTGCACAAGAAGGGGTCCCGTACCACGCGGAATCGACCCTATCCAGTGCTCAAGTGCTCAAGATACTGAAGGGCGTGAACGTCCCCAAAGACAAAGAGAGAATCGGCGAAGCTCGACGGGCTGCAGAGACAAAACGCACACGAACCGTGACTTGTGCTGAGCTGTGAGAAGCTGAGAAGTGGGATTGGTCCAGTCCGGTCTACTTGTACCTTTACTAGTATGTGAAGAACTGCTTACAGAATAAAGTGCACAAGAGATCGCGGCTTTTGCGGGAACTGCACGATGACGCGGCGCACCACGAGGGCGCAGGCGCAGGGAGGGCTCTGCCTCTGGCCCTTGCGCGGTTGCGCACTTGCGCCGCGTGGCGCCGCACGATCTATCGAATATGAAAAAGAAAAAAAAAGCGGACAGAGAGACGTGTGAGGCGTGCAGTGTGGTGTTCATTAGCTCCGAGTAGAGGGGGCGTCCTGGCTGCAGTTAAGGGGAAACCCGGTACGCGGGGCCAACCCTCGGAGACCCGTGTTTACTTTAAGGCCCTTGCCCTGCGAACGCGCACCCCCCCTAGGGGTCAGGGCTCTCTAGCCCGTAGCCCGATCCCGATCATCCGGCCCGCTGGGTGCGCTTCTGAGCTCCCCGGCCCTGGATGTGAGGTTGCCGACTGCACTCCAAGTGCTCCAAGAGAGAGGTAGGAATGCGCAAGGGCCAAGGCGGGAGAAGCCGCTGTAAGCCGTCAAAAGCCACCCACAAATACTGCGATTACGATATCACTGTGGCTCCAAAAAGTACGCTGTACGAGACATATGGGGCCCAAGCTGCATGAGGGAGCGGGTGGCCAGATGCACCCAGAGAGCATCGGCAGAGAGCAGTGAAGCCCTGCCCCCGCAGAGATGGGGCAACGTTCCGCCGTAACCGCCGCGCTCACGCGTCGGCCGCGGCGGACTCGGCCTTGGCAATGTCAAGCAGCTTCTGCGACTCGGCCTCGGTGAGCTGCGCGTACTTGACGACGCCGTCTGCGCGCGTGAGGGTGACGATGTCGAAGTTGTCGGGCGTGAGCGTCGTCGCGTCGGCCGTCTTTGTCAGCACCTTTGCGCGCGGAGAGGGGAGAAGGGGGTTTGTTGGGAGTGCTTGGGCGAGAGCTGGCTGAGGTGCGTGCTTGAGGTACGGACGGGGAGGCAGGCGGGCTGGCGCCGACGGCGCTCGCCGCCAGCCAGGTGGTGAGGACGGGGTCGGCGAACCCGTGGCGCAGCACGAGGAGGGCGGGCTCGGCGAGCGCAAGCAGGGGACGCACGGTCGGCGGGAGCGCGGCCGCTGCTCCGCATCCGT